ACTTGAAGACAAATGGTTCCATGCTACTTTTTAGTAGCAACATGCACCGTTATGAGATATGCAATGTCCTTTAGCTATAACAAATACATATACTTACTCTTTTCACCTTCATGTGAGGTACAGGGCATAAGAGATATAACCAGGCTCAGATTCCATTACTACTACATTACCATTACATTACTACATTTGCATTTCATCATCTTAAATCCCATAAGATCATTTACATCTCCAGGATGCTCTTCCCCAAATCCCTCCATTTCCTTCCATTTCCCCTTTCCTGCCCCTCCCTCTCCTCACCGCACAAAAAAGCCGTCACGGTGCCAATATACAGCCTCTGGTATGTGGCAGTTTCCGCTCTCTGCCAAGCTATTCCACACATTTAATCCTGAGGTGAAAATACTTTTCTAAGATTTCACTTCCATTCAGTCTTTGTAAATGACCCCCAAGCATAATAGTTCTTCTCATGACATGATTTCCACATACCTCATTGTGAGTCACACGCAAAAAAATTCACTGCTTGACCACAAATAAAGGCATAGTCTTTACTAGAAACATGACTGATGATGAGATATGAGAATGCAAAACTCCAGCTTAGCAGATTGCATACGGCAAACACTCTTCATTTAGTAACATACAAATGTAGTAGGATAAGTGGATCTGTAAGGTAAGAAGAAAATAACACTTCAATTAAATTTTCTGAGATGGTGGTCTCCTGATTACTTGTTGAAGCCAAACAACTTCTCGACAAGCAAAAGCCTGAACGTAACCAGATTTAATAAAGCTAAAGAAATCATGTGGCTAAGTTTACTAAGTATTCCCCTCCTTGCTGCTCCTTGTGGAGGAGAACAAGAGAGGGAGACAAGCAAACAAAAGTTTCTAATAATATTAATTAGACCATGCTGTTGAGCATGCCTTTATCTTCTTTGATTCTAGAAGCCAAATAAGGTAAAAGCTCTAACCAGTGAAACAAGGAGTAAGCAGGTCAATTTCAAAAGTTTGTTAGCTCCTAGTCAGGGACAGAGAGCAGGCAAGATAAGATTTGAGTGCTTCACCCTGAACTTCTGGTTAGATTTAAAATTCTCAATGGGATGAGAGGGATCCCACTCTAGGCATGGCCACCAGTCCACTTTCATTTCCAAAAGTGGAGAATCTCTTAGGATTCTTGGTGCAGATAGAACATGCCCTGGGGAGATCTAACAGCTATAGGAACAGCACAAAACCCAGCAGATTGATTAACAGCCGCAAGCCCCTTCGTACAAGCTCACACAGAAACAGTACTCCAGCATTGGTCCTGCTCAAACTGAAAAATTTTGACTGTTGATTTCCAAGTTACAGAAGCTGTAGTAAAGTCTGTGGTGCAATACATAGACTTGTTATGATTTGGTATTCAACTCTAGCTCTCTAGAACTTGCCGCCAGTTGCAGAAAAGCTTTATGAGAAGAGGTTGACCTGTCACAAGTGACTCATTTATGTCCATCTAGAAAAATACCCAACCAAAGTTCCAACATAGATTAGATGGAAATGACTGGTCAGCTCCTAGAGACACCTCTGAATATGCAGCACTCTTCAACAGCCTCCTAGGAGGAGGTACCTGTAGCCAGCATACAGTTGCAGCATCCACTGAAGGGACCATTTAGAGGCTGAACTGGCAATAGGCAACCAAAGTTATCTAAAAACTAGCCACTGAGGCTTTCTGTGAGAAATGCAGACATACCAGTTACTTGTGAAGCTATGTGGAGTATGGATTCATAAGGACTTCTCAAGGTGAAACACTTCTAAACACTTAGAGCTTCTATATGCCCGTGAGGAGGGTGAGGAACAGTTGGGACCAGTAAACTGAGGTGCTCTCAAACTTCTAGAAGATCTCTAATGGGGAGGAGTGGAGTTACTGACATGCCTAGCTTTTACATATGCCCAGAGACACACTAACTCCCTCACAGATCTTTAGGAAGCCTTGAACAAAAGGGAGTGACATAGAGTAACATTGACTGGTGTAACAATCTGGTTCCCTCTACTTTCATACGGGACTGGTAGTCTTGAAGTTGGATGCCCTTAAGCAAAGCCAGGTAGCTACAGAAATTACATTCAGGAAGGCTGGAAAAGCAAAGGTGTTATTCAGGCTGAACCAAGAATTTGGCACTCACTTTAGAACGGGTGAGGCTCCTTATATAAAGCTCTGAAATTAGGCAAATATGTTTCATGTTTGGTTTGTAGCTTCCAGGCATAGAGTTTCTAAGTGTATGTGTTGTTAAATAAATACAGACACCAAGCTCAAGACGCACTACCACAAAGCTGCTAGATTATTTGTTCTGAATTATGCATTACCTTTGCTCGATATGCAATTTTTCTAACGCAAGTACCCCACAAAGCCCCAAATTCCATCATGTCTATATGCCATATGCACAAGCTTCTCCAACTGTCTGCTCCTCATGGAAATTCTATTTGTTTTCCTATTGATTTTATTATGTTTAACAGCATACTAAATCATTCCTGAGGTTGACAAGTTTCTGGAAAATTGATATATGCTGTCTAAGACTGCCTGAGGCAGGAATAAAACCAAAACAAATGGCTTCTTTTAAACTCTAGATTTGCATTACTACAGCCAGGCATACAAGTGCCATCTTGTTTGGTAGAAGAATTCTTTTCCTTTGTGTAACATCTAAAGCACAGGAAATGTTTAGAAGCTCTTATGGGTCTGCATATCGGAGGAAGGTGATTGCAAAATACCAGACTATTTCAGTGAGGGTGGGACTAAAAAAGCAGATTGTCAGCTAAAATGAATGGGCCAGATTCTCTTGTGGAGAGGTGGAACCGTAAGTAGATGCCTTGAAATCTACAGCTTAAGGCAAAAGTAAAATTTTTAGTGATATTTAAAGACTCGTATTTAAATCTTCCCTTGAGAAACTGTACTTTGAAGCATTTAAGCAATATTGGGATGAAGCAGGATTTTTTTTTGTTTGTTTTAAGGCTTGGAAGCATCACCATAAAGCACTACAGAATTTCTTCTAAAGATTGGACTCTATTGTGAAATGGGAAAAAGCACCCAGCCAGTAATTTTTTATTGGTTCAGAAACTAAAGGGGGAGATGAATTAGAAAAAACAGTCTTGATGCTTGAATGTCAGAAATCTAAAAGCCATAAGAGTTCAAAAGGAAAACTGATTACGAAGAAAGATTTTTAAAATATTCAGAGAGAGATCTGGCAAAAAGTGAGAAGGTCATATGAACAGATCTTCATCCTTGCTAGATACTCATTAGGGTGTTATAATGGATGTGTTCTGGCAAAGAAAAAAAACACACACAAAATTGCAAAGAAAAAAATATTTTTGGGATAAATAGCTGAAAAATAATGAGACTACATTTGCAGAGCCGCAGACATTTAAGACATTTATAGTCACAAACTTCTCATTTTGTTGTGATTAAAAAATTCAAAGAAATAGAGATGACATTTTTCCTGTGATGCCACAGAATAAGCTTCTGAGTTCTGCTAAGGAGAAAATAAACTAGCTTGTCAGTACATAAGTTGATTTGCAGGTCAGTCCTCTGGATAAGCAACAAGTCTTCTGTGAATTAACAAGTGAGAAAAACAGTCTCAAGGAGATTTCATTTGGAGAATTTTATGATCATCCAAAAATATACACAAAAATGCAGAAGATGCTACAGTCCTCATAATATTAAAGATAAAAAAAATGAATTTCAGTAACAAACAAAACAGTACAAAAAGAAAATACTCATCTTCACCATTGAAATGAGCTTCAGAAGATCAACTTTATCTCTTTCTTAGAGAAGGCCAAGCAAATTCAGTTCATTGCTAAATGCTTAGATACTGTAGAGATCATATATAAAGCTCAACAGAACCTCAATAATTCTACTGATGGAGATAGCAGAAAATACTGCAGCATTAACAGTGAATGCATCACATGCTTGTTTGCCTTGCAACTGTGTTTTCAAAGACAGTAACATCGTATCAAAATTTCTAATTTCATATCAAAAAAATCTACTTTGCAGAAGTATTACAGGAAAATTTCAAAAGGCCTGACAAACATGATTCCAAGCTGTGCTGATCTTCACAGCACAGAGATTTTCTTTTTTTTCCCCTTTGGTACACAAAAGCAGTGAAGACAGTAAGATCTGTCTCCTTTCTTCCATTTGCTAAATGATTCCATAATCTCCAAAATACACTGTCTATATCTGGCTATTAATTTTGAAAATTAAAGCAAAGATCTGGGAGATTAAATGGTGCCAACATTTTCCTAACTAATATGTAGCCTTTGTGCCAACAGGTATTTGGACATTTGTAGTTAGAAACCTTGCCAAAGATGTTTGACGCTTGCTATAGGTTTCTGTGCTCATTTATGAAAGACAAGATATTCTGCCAACTTACAGGCAAGTTTCATGACTTCAAAGGAATAAATGTCCAATACACCAAAAATTCCCTGGAAAGGCCACATACATCTGCTGTTGTTGGAGACCATTCAGCCACTATAGCATTGACGGTATTTGGCAAACTTGGACAAATTGGTAAACCCTTTGAAACGGCACCAAAACAAAGTTTCTAGGTGGAAGAAATAAGCCTCACGTGCTAGGCAGTCTTAGTGGGAAATAATGAATATTCTTTTTAAAAACACAAGTCTAGAAAAGCTTTGCAAGCATCTACAAACAACAAAATGTATGTTATGGAGAATCATGCCTTCACAAGCACAGTGTGTGAAGACAAGTGTTGAAAAATTGTTCTCCACTCAAAACAGGCAGAAAAATACATTATATCAAAGATGGAAAAATAATTAAAGGCATCCAAGACAGACTAGAACTATTTCATTAAATCAGGAACAACATTAGGTCATGGGCTGTAGTCTGGTATTAAAGCTCAGGAAAGTTCATAGCATTCAGAAGTTCAGATAAATGCATTGTCAAGCTGAAGTATTACTGATGAAGCACATGTTGGAAAGAAAAAGAACTAGGACTGTTAAATCACTTGTAGAACCAGTACACTGAGAAGAGATAGCCAGAAATGTTTTTATTTTGCACAAGTATAGAACAACATAAATGTCTTTTGACACCTTTGCTCAAAGTTCCTTAAATCGCAAGGTACATCCAAGCGTGTTAATCAATGATAACTGAACAAGCAATAAGACAGGTAAACAGACCTCCTCCTAATAATGCTACTCAAATAAATTAAATATTTCTGAACCATCAACAGTATGAGCAGATGCTCTTTTTAAAGTCTACTTTTGAAGAGATGCCATCACGTACTAACTTAAAAAGATCACTTTTTTCTACAACTAGGTACTCTCTTTTAGACTCAACCAGAAAACAGCAACACTGAATGGCTGTTTCTTGAATGGAAACAGTAGATGTGTCTGCTCATGCAGTACTGACTAAAGATTGAGAGAGCAAATCTTGTACAGACAGAACTGATAAAAGATCTGTCTGACAGTCCACTGGAATTTCATTTGCTCTGCAGACAAAATAACAAGGTTGCTTGGAGGTAATCCAATAAACTGTTCCAGCAATTATTAACAAAAAGGATTCAAAAAAGGTACAAAAAATGTTAGATAAAAAAAAAAAAAGCAGCAAGGCTGAAGGTTTCAAAATTTGTTCATTTTCAATGCATTCATTAAATGCCTGAATCTCAAGAACCTTGCTGCCATTACTTAACCTTTAAAATGAAGGCTCAATCATAAAACACTCTCATAAAACACGAATAAGATCTAATGTTATCCTCAGTCGAGGAATATCAACATTAAGCACTTTAACTTCCACTCTTTCTCCAGGACCTAACCCCAGGCTTCTTCTCTTCTTCACTTTAGAAAGTTTTGCTTCTGTTATGTTTCGCACTGGAATCAAACCTGCTTTTCCCACACCAATATCAACAAAAACTCCAAATGGCGTCGCATTTTCAACTTTTCCAGTCAGAACAGTGCCAACACTTAAGTCTTCAAAGCAGACTATGCTTCTCTTGAAGTCAGGTTTATCAAAATCTGTTATAAGAAACAAGAAACAAAAATAAGACTCTGGAGAAAAAGCTTGCATTATTTTCTAAGGGTTGTTTCCAGCTGATTGTTTCCAATTAAGAAATCATCCCAAAGTAGCTCTAAGGTCCCAAATACTGCTTCATTATGTTTTTTAAATAAAGACCCATCTGTGATAAAAAACTGCTTTCTTGTATTTTATGAATCACTTTAAAAGACTATGATTAATGGAGTAATAAGTATAGTGAACTCCATGGTATGAAACCATCACAGGAGGATCAGAATCACGTATGAATATTTCCACTGAAGAGTCCCGTTTGCTTTTATATCTTCATATTTTAGCCATCTATCCTACTGTAACTTAAGTGTGAAACCATCAGTACAAATGGAGACTTAGAAAATACACATTTTCAAGACCATTAGTGGGAAATAGTTATAAAATATGCAAGGTAACTACTAATAAACCCCCAAAAGGGAGACAGTTACATTTTTTTAAAAGGAATAAGTTTATTATTTGTTATTAAGTCTGCATCTTTGCTGCCTACCTTTATCTGTTGCTGTTGTAGAGAATCCAGCTGTAAGTTTCATTAAACAACAGCATCTCCAGATGTTTTACTTCATTGCTTACCTCATCTTTCTTCCCCTCCACCTCAAACTGTTCAGCACTACTGCAAAGTTTTAACCAATGTAGGTCATGAGCCATGAGCTCCAATTACACTTGTCTCCAGAAACTAGTGCAATAAAAGAGCAGAACTGCACACTAGCACACTACTGCTCCACAGACCTTTATTACTACTGTTTCAGCTCAGTCTCAGCATCCCCCTCCGTGATGGAGAGCCAACACAGATTTAATCAGTATAGAGCCAACATATTGAAACTATTTCATTTGTTAACAGCCATACAACTCCCCTTCCTACAGCTGAAAATGCTATGATTTAAGACAGGATTCACACTCTTTACCTACTGAGCTGGAAAGAAACATCTGACTATGATATAGCCTCCACCTTGTCCGAGAAAAGAAATGGACTTATACATCCATGAAAATCCACTATTGACTTTGAAGAAGAAAATGTGCTATTTTAAAACTGGTACGTAGAACAATCAAACTTGAGATTACAAGCTTCAAAACAAAGGTTTACCTGTTCGTATGTCAAAGCCTTCAGGCTGAGTCAGACCATCAATGATCAGCTGCAACGTGTGCACTGTTGTATTTAGCCTTTTGGCTGTGTTTTCCAGTCCTTCCTTTTGAATTACTGCATTTACTTTTTGCTGCATATCTGATGTTCCTATGTCATTTGTGTTTCCTCCAATGAAAGATAAAAACCTGGAAGTTCAAACAAAGATACAGAGAGAGATTTGTAACACCCTTTAGAGGGAACTGAGCCTCTTCTATATTCAGGAGGTTTAATTGCTTTTGCATTGATGCATGAACAAAACTTCTGATAAAAAAAAATATGAGCCGTGAACAGTTTCCCAAGTGCATATCCTCTCAACTCATCACTGATCAGAGACATCCATGGAAACTTGGAGCCCACCTGTATACATGTATCTCCTGGAATATATTACAAAACTAGAAGCAAAATTTCAAAATGTAAATCACTTCTCAGATCGATAAGTTCATTTCATGATAAAACCAAATCTGATTATGACAAAGATTTTACCATGAAAGTTCCCTAGAAATAAGTGAAAGTTCTATAATATGGTTGTTTTTATTACAACTCATTCAAATTAAAATGAATGACAATTTAGCGAAACATTTAAAATATTAATGTGAAGTATCTTTAAACAAATTTAAGAAAAATTTTACATAAAATACTTCCCTTGTCTATAAACTTTATGATTAAGAACAATTAGTTTTTCAGAAAGTAGGAAATAATCAAGTCAAAATAATAACACACAACACAAACACCCTTATCCTTCTGCATTGTCACATACATACACACATTGCAGATTAAGAAATATTTGGATGGTTATCTAAAAAGGCTTAAAAAATATTTAAAATAAATACGTCTTGATCTGTTTTTCTAAAATAAAAGAAAAAAACCCAAAATGCACTTACTGAGGTTTTTAGTTCAGCAATGTTGGCAGATACGCCGAGAAGCACAGAGAATAGATGACAAAAATTCACATTCAGACCCTACTCATTATCAGGAGTGAAGTCTTAGACAACATTTATAAATCACTGAGTAGATGCCCTTATTTTACTGACAGACTTAATGCAAAACAAGTTTTTAATGTATATAAACCAATGAAAATGAGGATGCAGCTCTCAAACTGAGCCACCTTGTACTGAAAGGAATTTGTCCTTCTCTCAGTAGACACTTCAGTTACATGTCATGCTGCCCTGCTCTGCATATCACCATGAATAAGCCTCTTCTCTCCTGTGTTACCACGTCCCTTATTGCTGGGGGGAGGCACGTGTTTTTTGCATGCCCTCAACTGCAGCGGACAGGTAGAATTATTGTCCCCATCCTCCAGTCTGAGTAAGCGTTCCTTCCAAATTCCTAGAAAAGATCCCTCCTTCCTGTCCTTATCCTACTTCACAACAGGCATAAATCACAAGCCACAACAGCAGTCCTGACCAGCAGGCTCACACCCTGCACTTCGGAGCGGTCTGACACGTTCCAGCTCCCTAAGAAAGCAAAAGCCTCCGGTACTCAGCCTCCTTTACCCTCCTCAAAAATACATGCTGTGTTTTTAATCAAAAAGTGAGGCTAGTATTTCTTTTGGCTGGACACCCAGTGGAGTTTGTTTTGTTTTGTTAGTTTGGGTTTGTTTTTTTCTTTGTTTTGTTTTAGTTTTGTTTTGGCTTTGTTTGGTTTTGGTTTTGTTTGGTTTTGGTTTGTTTGGTTGGTTGTTTTTTTTTTTTTATATGAGGAACCCAACTGACATTATTTCAGGTGATGAACAATAAACAGCTCTATGCACTGAAATTCAAAATTAAAATTTCTTTTTGAAAAATATAAATTGAAGGAACACAATTAAAGCACTATATGACACTTAGTAAAGCACAAAATTCATCTTTGAGCACAAGGGCAAATCTTCACTCCCAAATGTCCACTAATTTCATCAAAAGGAGAACATGAATTAAAATTGGCTGCCAGGACTTCCAATTTTTTACTGAATTCAAACACAAGCATAGCGATTTAAGTGTACTGTTAGCTAAAACACATATATTTTCACTTAACAGTGATATAACTTTCACATTAATTTTCTGAACATGTATAGATCTTTTATGTGGCAATGTGTGAGGAAAAAAATAAAAATTAATAAAGGTTCAGTGCATGATTCAGGATTTACTGAATTTTGTTTTGACAAACTGCATTTCAACTTCCGACATGACTTTCTAAAGTAGCTTGAGGTGGTTTTGAAACAAAATAAATATCAAAACAGATGCATAATTGTTCATAATATTAAATATAAGTTTTTACCTTCCGTAAAGCAACAACAAAACGCTACTACTACTACAATATTTAGTCTAACAAGAGCCTATAGATGAAAAATATCAGACCTCCTATGAAACCATCTTCTGTTGGTGTCAAAAAGAGCACTAAAAGTGGTTGTGATGGTAATACAGAGAACGCGCGTAGGCGCTGGTGAAGCACTGCTCGCCCAGTGCCGTGGGGCTGCTGACTGACACCCGTGGGCAGACGGACAGGGCACCAGCGACAGGCAGCAGCTGCCCCAGCTCTGACTGATGGGCCAGATGTAACACAGCAAATCTGACCAGCCTCATGACTCAGCCTTTTAAATAATGTATCCTTTACTGCCCGCCCCTGTAAACAAGTTTGCTGACATCCACGCACTTGGCTTTATTTCACTTCAAGTGGAAATTCAGCTCGAGTACCTCCACCGAGTAACATTTTCTCACCATTGGGATTTCACAGAAGCGCATTCACTCTGTAAAACGGTAACAGGGAGGGTTGTGCGTCTAGTAAGTGCAACCACATGGCACAGCCACCGATGCATGAAAAACCCACCCAACCTGTTATGTACAGAACTGTCAAGTGTGTGGATGATGCAATCAGAATGCCCAGCGCTATGTCCAGCCCAAAACAGGACACAACCCAGGTGCCTGAGCCCTCAAGTACTATTCATGGAAGTTACTTCGTCCCCCACTCCTTCCTCTGCTTCGCCCACACTCTGGAAATCTCAATCAAAGTACTTACCTGATATTGAAAAGGATTCCCCATCTAGGCAAGGGTGCTAGGTTTGGGTCCTATGTTAGCAATTACAGTTGTTCAAATAAATTATTAACATAGTTACTACTCAGAATATGTGCCCAAGACTAAGTATATGATAAGTCCCACCAACCTCAGCAGCGTTATTAGTCTTCTAAAAATCAGGCATTTGGTTAAGAATATTTCAGAAATACAAGGTACATTATAGGTAGAACAGAGCACTGTAACAAGGTCCAGCATGCACCTACACTCACAAAAAATAATCTTTAACAGAAACATTATATTCCTATTTTCAAAATTCTCACTTTTTTAAGCTAGGTTTTGGTAAAACCTATGCACTAAAATAATTCCAAATAAAAATAGTTTCTTAGTGATTACAGATACAGTTTTTAAAAATACTGAATCTAGTTATATATTTAATGTATCATTTTCACTCACATGAACATAGCCTAAGAGCACTTAGAATAAAAAAATCAATATAAAGCACAAATCTCTGACTGAGCAGTGGCACATTATATTGATCACTTCTATTTTTAAAAGTCTTTGCTGAGAACGAAGTTAAATGTTTCCCTATTAAAAAAGCAACCCAACAACTTCCTTCAAGAGTTATCCCAAGGTCAGAAAACAAGGATATAGTCACTATTAAAACTGGGATATGGCTATGGGGGAAAAAAGACGTTTCCCTTAATTTACATATTTTGATCTTCATAATGTTAAGCTACCTCACCACAGCCTTCGACATCTCACTTACCCAGTGTGTAAATGACAGTTCCAGCTGTATGACATAAGAACATCAATGATCTGTGCAAAAATGAAAGCCCTTCAAGTTTTTGCCTGGCTACATATGTGAACTAAATAACATGTTGCAGTAGTTGAAGTGCTATATTTATCTACTAGAAAGATAAAACCTTAAAGTTAACAGAAATGGAAATGGGAAAGATGAGACTTTTTTTCTGAAGTGAGGTCATTCTTATAACAGATACACTATCCTATTTCCTCAAATGTTGAGTGTCTCAGTGACTGGCGAACTTTCTGTCCAAGGCACATCAACTCAGGTAAAAGCTGCCAGAGTCTTAGTAGAATCAGAACAGAGTGAAATTTAGCTGGTTTAGAGACTCTGAGTTTTATGGTTTTGAGATTTAGAGGATACTTAGAAACCTCTGCAACCACCTTAGTTTTAAAAGCAATCTTTGCAGTCTTACAAGACCTGCAGAGAATGGTCATGGCTAAATCACTCATGTTTTTATTTAATACATAATTTCATCCATCTTACCCAGATAAAGAAAGAAAAGTAGCATAAATGTAACAAATAAGCACATCATGTTCACTTAACATACACATCTGCACAAAATTATAGCACACCCCTTGCATTGCTTAAAAGATAATGCAAATTACAGTGGAATGCAAAAAACAGTCAGAAAAGAGTAAAATTATTACCAAGGGAAGCCTTCCGTACATTTTTACAAAGTTACTTTAAACACCCCAATAAGCTTCTTAAAATGTGCAGGAGTTCTACAGCTTTGCAAGGGTTTTAGTCACAGTCATTTCTGTTTTATGTAATCATTTCCAGCAACACAACTTAAGAGCAGGGAGTACTGCATTCATTACATTAAAGCAACATGATACACCATTACATCTTGTCACAGTGCACACATGAATTAATGGTAATGCAACATAATCACTCTGAAAACAAAAACAACTTTGCATTAGCATGCGCTTTGTTAGGTAAAATGTACATTCATGACAGTAGCAAACTTAAATTATGCAGACATTTAGAAATGTTTTGAAATGCAAAAGCATTATTTGTATAATACAGATGTTGATGTTGAGTGTTCTTGTTCTCACTAGTGATACAGATCCTCCATTGTCAACTACTGATGCAGATTATATATCAAACAATATTTGTGCATAACTCTGTAATTAGCTGCTGGGCACAGAAACTTAAAGTTTCAAATATATTTAAAACTACCCGTGTGGTTTAGGCAGATAAGGATATTTAACCAATATGTTTTTCCTCAAATGCATATATTATTAATATTATAGACTATCTGACTGCATGCAGAAGACCAAAAAACTCAGATAGTTTATGACATTTTGAACGTATAAATCTAAGAAACAACGAGTTTCTAAATGAGGAAAGAAA